CTTTGGCGACGGTGGTTGGTGGTTTTCCTTTTTTTTCTTTTTAAATAAATGAAGTGCATTTTAGTCATGTTTTTTAAAATAATCTTAATTTAGTCTTTGGGTCCTACAGTGAAGTTTCATATTTTATTATGTGTGATTTGAAGATAAGTCACATCTCTAGTCCTTTACTAAAATTCTTCCTTTTTTTTTATAGAAAAGTGCTTTGAAAATTGGGGAGATTTTGTATAAAAATGATTTTGGGCTCGGCCTATGTAAGCTTGAAAAAAAAAAAGTGGCTCAGGATGAAACTCCTTGTTTCAGCATGTGTCTGTTTTCTATAGTTTTAGCTAGTATTTGTTTCCTTGGATGATTAAGTAAATTTTTATTTTAAAATTAAATTTATATTTTAAAAAATTCGTTTGTACTCTAAAAATTGAATTTGTATTACTCATTTTGGACTTGAAAATATTTTAATTTGTATTTTTGAGCTTGAATATATATGTAATGTTTTAACATGAATTTTTTTTTCAGAAAATTAAAAAAAAACCGGCTTTTGACCCCCTGACAATAATCCTAATCAATAAGGTTAAGAAGTACGCTAGTTTCTAGAAGCTCAGTTGCTTTAAATTTGGTCATTTCTTAAAGCTTCGCTTTTACTCATTTTTATTTTTTTTCATCTAAAAATATAAATCTTTTTCAATACTTATCATGACCCAAATAGAAGAAGAAGCGGGGATCCACATCATAGATATTATAGCATATGCATAGGGAATTTAAGGAAGATTGTATAAGTTTATAGCACCAATTAAGAACTTAAGAGACTAACTAGACATTTTAAAATTTGTTAGTACTTTACTAGAATAAAATGATTTTTCCAAATGTCATTCCTCCTTATGAATATGAATTACTCTAGACATATTATAATTAATATATTTTTAGTCAAGTTAAAAAGTTGAACAAGTTGCACTTCAATTCAAAAATTCTCTTCCTTCATGTATTAAAAATAAAGCAATATCCCTATTTTGTTAAATATCCATTACTTTGACCATTAATTGAAAAAATAATTATAGAGAATGACCTAAAAAATTTAAATGACTTAATCAATATTAATTTTTTATAAGGTCATTTTGTATAAACTACAGTTTACATAAAAGTTAGCTATTATAATGTGATTTATATTTAGATATTTTTTTCAAAAAAAAGTCAATTTTAAAAAAAAAAACTTGTCTGAATGATATAATTCAAAAACAGGTTTAAATATATAATAATTAAAAAGGACATAGGCTAGTAAAAAGAAACTAAAAAGGGCACGAGTTGTATCTCTCTCTCTCTCTCTCTCTCTCTCTCTCTCTCTCACACAAGTATGCAATTTGATACATTTAAGAAAAATATTAAAATTAAAATTAAATTATAAAACTAAAAGAGAAAATGTATTAATGTAGAAAATATATTTAAATATTTAAAAACTTAATTAGATCTATTTAAAGAATAAATATATATATATATATATATTACAAATCAAATTTTAATTTTAATAAATAATAAAAAATCAAATTTCAGAAGGAAATATGGAAGGACAAATAGGTTATTCAATAAATTTGAAATGCATTAAATATTGCTAATAGTTAGATTTCAACGTAACTAATTTAAAAACTTTCAAAAATCAAGATATAGCTTTTGGCCTAACTACAATTAGGAAAGAAAAGCTCCATTTATCAATTACTCTTATCCAAATTAAATACTTTTTTTGTACCCCTAACTAGCTTTTATGCCTAGCTACAAATTATAGTTTAAGCCAACTAAATGGAATCCTAAATAAGCATCATCACTTAAGAATAAATAGTTTATGCTATGGGTTTAGGTTTTATGACCTTCTAGCACCTAAACAACGGAAAAAAGTTATTGGCTAGGAAAAAATTAAAAAAAAAATTCATTAACAACATGTCGATAAACCTGCTGAAATAGCATAACACTCATTGATTTACAGAACCAAGATATTCAATCTACGGTCCTCAAGAAAAGCTAAATAGTAGTTCTTGACTTCTTGATATAATTGGTAGGTTCACGATCGGTGTGATCAGTCCAAGCAATTCCCAGGGCCAATTTATTTAAAATATCAGATATCATGTAAAATTAGAATAATTTAGTGCTATTATTTTTATTTATCTATATAATAATATTGGTATTATAAAACTAATTTTTTTCACTATTTATTGAAGTGATATTTTTAAAAATATATGAATTATGCATTCTTCAAATTATTTGCTTCATTTGTTTAAAAAAAATAAGCAACCTCATGTGATTTTAATAAATTCATAAGCTTAAAATTCATTAACAATATAACTCCTATTATCATCAATTCATATTGGTCCTAGTAGAAACAATTATGGTCATTAAAGTATGAAATCTGATATTCAAGTATATGTGAATGTAGAAAAAATCTTTGGAATCGATACCTCTGTTAGAAAACCGATTTGGCTCAATAATTTCATATTAGTTATAATCCAATATGGTTTTGGATACCAATATTTTGCCACCAAAGTGCAAATATGATTCAATCATCAATTTTCTTGCAATGAATATATAACAACAGTGAAGAAACGAGGATTTTGGGATATTACGATAGTGCGTTTTAAAGCTTCATATGTATAGTTCAAAACTCAAAAGAAAGAATTACATACAAGTAAAACAAAAAATGTTTGGCCCAAAAAGAAAAGAAAAGAAACAATGACTCGCATAGGAATTAGGCTTCTTCTTTATATTCTCCCTTGTACATGGATTCATATTGGGCATTAAATATGAGCTCAGTTAGCCAATCTTGAAAAATAAGCCTTGCTAAATTTATTATATTAAGTATGCTTAAAGATAGTATATTCTATCAAAATAGCTTAAGCCATTTAATTAGATACTTCTTAAGCTTTATATATCATGATCCATTTTCTAATTTTTTAGATGTGAGACTTCTTTTTATACTCTAATATTCTCTCTACTACTTTTTTTTTTCTTTCTGTTTTTTTTTTCATTTTTTTGCCTGGGCTTGTACTTTTTTAGTCTTAGAGGCTCAGGTCTATTCAATTTCTTTTCCTTTCTTCTTCTTTTTCTCTCTTTTCTTTTCTTTTTTTTTTAAACTTCTTCTTGTATTTTTTTCATCTTTCATTTCTTTCATTTTTTTCATTTTTTTGTCCCCCAATCGAATGGCTCATGATACCGTATTAGATTTATTATATTAAGTATGCTTAAGGATAGTATACTCTACCAAAATAGCTTAAGCCATTTGATTAGATACTTCCTAAACTTTATACATCATGATCCATTTTCTAAAATTTATATATTAACATACTTTGACTTGGGCCTTTTGATGTATCGCTCAACATTCTCTAGAATTGGTTCAGTTATTTGACTGTTGTCCATGACAAGAAATTGAGGGAAAATTACATTCATATATTATAATTTTACTACATTCATAATTAAAGATCTTAATAATTCTTGTGAGTTAAAGTTGATATACCTTAAAAAAAACCTTGTGGTTTAACTTTCTCACATTATAACTTATGTATTCTTTTTACTAGAATTAATGATAACAATTCTGAGTTGTTTGATGAGTTTTTAAAGTTCTTTTATCACAAATTTTTAAAAACTCTCAGTGCATGAATGTAACTATCATTGAATTCTATGACTGTGTGTATATATTCCCTCTGTTTCTACTTGTTTTTTTATGAGCAAAATCACATAATTGAATAAGATTTTATTACAGTTTTCCTAAATTACTCCTCATAAACTCAAAATTTTTATTAACAAGAAACAATTAATGTAGCCTTATATATTTTGATTAAATACAAGAGTATTTTAGTATAAACTTTTTTATTTGTAGACATAATTATTATAATTAACTAATTTTTTTAAACTGTTAATACAATTGCTTTCTTTGATGTATATATAGAAATGGAAGGAGTATATGTTTGCCCTTATTGACGTGTGCAAGAGTAATAAGTCAATGAGAAAAGACTTCAAAAACAATTTATTTATGACCTTAAAAAATCTTGTTTGTAATTAATTTTGCCGTTTTTAATGCGCATGACCATAATGAGTCTATTATGAAAGACATTACAATATGAGATTGTGACAACAAAATAGTTTTCTACAAAACGTAATTTAACAATTTCTTTTTTCCAAATAATAGTAAGTAGTATCTTTCATTAACAATTTTTGTGGAGTTGTGGAGACATTTTAAATGTTAGGACAAAAGAAATAGCACATGGATGGAGATATATGACAAAAATAATAGGGGAAAAAAAGTTGGAAAGCCCATTCCACACGTTGTGACTAATTATGAGGCTGTGAATTAGTCTTTGATCAACCTCTTGAATACAAACATGTATAGAATGACCCCACCTTAAACATAAATTTCCTCTTGTTTGCGTAAAAATTTGTATAAATAACATTTATTATGTTCTAATTTTTATTTCTCATATTCATTAGTTGACAAAACTTTTAATAAAAATGCCGTGTTGAATAGTCATTATTCTAATAACTAATGCACAATATAATAATGAATTAATGATCATGTGACTTCAAAAAAAACTAATTTGATTCTTTCATATTTTCTTTCTTATTCTTATCTTAATTTATATATTATATATTTATGTGTAACTATATTGCCGGCCTGGTGCGTGCCCTTTTTGTTATTGTTGTCCAATGTTGTTTTGTAATCCTACTTTGAATAATAGTATATTAGTATTTACCTCATTTTACTGAAAAAAAAATGGACCATCATATCCTGGTCATTAATTAATTAAAAAAATCTTTATATTTACTTATAAAATACATAAGCGTCTTTCCAAATCATTCTCTTATTTCCATCTTCTTCCCATATTATCTTGCCTTTACCTTCCTATTTTTGCCGTACGTAAATATCTACCAATCTCAATGATCTATTTTGTTTTTAATTTCACCATGAAGAACTTTGATTTTGCTATCAAATAGTTTGTGTGAGTGGGTTTTTGGGGGTTAAGATATAAATCATGTCTCTGAAATTGTTTGTCATCATTGATATAGACACAAAATTGGAAAATTTGAAGCAAGTCCAAGGGTGCAAGAAAGGCCTTGGAAGAGCTGTATTGTAAGTAATTTGATCAGTCTTTAAAGGATGTGTTTGGATTCGTTAGGATTTGGATTTTAATTTCAACTAAATCTCTCATTTAGATACATATAATTGTCTATGAATTTTGATCCATGTTTTATTATAACTTCTTTATAATTTTCATTATCGATGCTTTCGTCACTCTTTTCTCTCTCCTCTTATCTCTCAGCAATTAAAAAATAGAGTTAAACTTGTCATTCTGAATCTTAATTTTTTTTTTCTTTGAATATTAGCTTGTCTCTCTTATATCTTGAAAATTGTCTACATTATGCAAATAAAAGGATTTTAAATGTAAGATTTTTAATCTAAAATTAAAATTTAAAATTATCAATCCAAATACTACCTAAAATTATATTATACTTGGAGTAACTGTATTCACGGAGCTGTATGATTTTATTGTTATTGATGTGCACAAGAGTCTTAAGTCAATAATCAGAGACTTCAAAAAAATAAAATTTTAATTACGGATAAAAAAGAATATAACTTTTCCGTTTTTAACATGTAAGAAAATAATAAGTCAATTAATTATGATGAAAGACTTTAAAGAGTTGGATTATGACTATAAAAGAATTTTCCACAATACATACTTTAACAACTTATTTTCTTTGAATAATAAATAGTCTCATTCAGTTACTATTCAAGTGTGGAAAATTTTAAAGTTGGGACCATAGTAATAGCAAAAGGATGGAGAAACATGAAAACGATTTGAGAAGAATTTTCTCCTTAGAATGCCCATTCCACAAGTTGTGACTAATTATATGGCTCTTAATTAGTCCTTAATCAACTTCTTACAAGCAAACATGTATAGAATGGCCCCCGACGATTTGAGATGAATTTTCGCTTTGGAATTTTCTTTTCTTTTTTATTTATTTTTTAGTAAATAGTGCAATTCCCATATACATTTTACTCTCTAAATGAATATTGATATTGTATATGTGTTTATAATATTTGGCCAGGTACTTAAATGTCATGTATGTTGAAATTATTTATATTTTGGCATATTTTTTAAATAAAAGGACTGACTATATAATATGAATATCCTTTATAACAAAGAAAAATTTTTCCTTATAGATAAACAGCATTTGTTTGTCACTCTTACATCGAAGGTTTTCAAGGAAAAAATCATTTGGACTTGATGGATGAAAATAAATTTCCTTTTCAATAGGTAAAAAATATTATACAAATATAATTTCTTATGTCTTTATTTTTATTGCTCTTATTCATTAGATTATATTTTTGCCCAGCATGCATAACAGAGGGCCAATCCATATCAATTAATTAGATGATGGGCCAATATTCTAGTCACTAATTCATGATAACTAATAACGATCAAGTGTCTTAAAAAAGAATTAATCAGATTTTCTTGATATTTTCTTAACTTCTGCATTTTAAATTTTTAAAGAAGCAAAAACTTTCTTCAGGAAAATCGTTATGGAAGTATTAACAACCAGCTACTTTCTGCAACATAATGGATGCTCTTGATGTCTTTGGCTTACTAATTTTAGTTTTTAAAGCTTTTATTTTAAATTTTAAAAATTATATCCCGTAGTTGACGGACACAAGTACAAACTTATAACCCATGGCGCAAGTCATGGGTCTATTAAAATGTTTATTAAATTTTATTTTTAATAAGATTTTAGGATATCTAATGTTTTTGAAAAAAAAATTCAAAGGCAAATTGACATTTCAATCCAAGAATAATAACTCAAGTCAAATAGTCAATGGGGCCCACACATAATTCAAGTAGGTAGATAATGCTGAAATTGACTGTTCTTTAATAGGAGATAAGATTGCACTTTGAAAAAATAGTTTAGAAAAAATATTGTCTTATTTATCAATATAAGGTGTCTAATGTTTCTCGAAAAAAGGTTAGAAAAATTATCTTTAACCCTTCCTTTTAATCTCTTGTTTTTTTTCACTTTTCATTCTTTCTTTTCTTACTTTTTTTCTTGGGTCTCTTGTTTTTGTTTCTAATCAAATGACTCTTGATTCCATGATAAGTTCTTTATATTAAGTTAGAATAAGAATATTTTATTTTACCAAAATAGCTTAAACGTTAGACACATCCCAAATTTTATATATTCAAGATCTATCTTCTAATTTAATTTTAATGTGGAACTTCTTTTATCTCTAATGGTATGAGACAGAATGTCATAAAAATGCATATATCAAAATTAATTTGATTTTTTTTCCTATTTTATATTTTCTTATTTCATATATGATATATTCCAAATTAAAAATTATCTCCCGCAGTTGAGGGGCACAATAATACTTATTGGTCCAAAAATAATGGTGACAATTTGTGGAATCTTCTTCTCCTTTTTATTTTTATTTTTTTTTATTTTGGAACCTTAGGGCACGCACGTTGATCTCATTACACACCATTATGGTCTTTTTGGAGCAATAGTTAACAAATTTTTAGTTGAATAAAAATTAAACTTACTCTTTCACTATTGCAAAGTAAATTTTATTAATTAGTTTATATTTAACAGATTGAGCATATTGAGCATTTCTTAATGTGTTCAAAATAAGAAAGGGGATAAAAGAATTAATTCCGTAAGCTATTTAAATGTTGATGAAACTAGTTTATTTTGGCACATTTTTAAAACAAAAAGACTTAATATATAATTTGGACAAATTTATAATAGATACAAAATATCCTTAAAATGAAAGTGGTTTGAGTGCATGCATGATTAAAAAAAAAAGAAATTACTGTTCAGATAAAAAGATGCCTTAAAAAGGATAATATAGAATTTTGTTTTTTGTTTTTTTGTCTTTCTTATGGCATGAATATGTTTGCGACAAGCACACAAAGGTCCACACAAAATATTTCTAATCAGGTTAAAAAAAGAAAGAAAGAAATAGGAAGATACTTATTTTGCAACAAAAACAATTAAAATTTGTTTTCTGGAGCAAAAAAATGATTACTTTTTTCCCCTTAAATTTTGTGATGAAGGACGTGAATTTTTGTCAGGTGAGACCCACAAAGGTCCACAAGTGACATTATAAATAATGGATCTCTTTCAAGCGTTTATGTCCATGAAAGCAACCACCATTAGATCAGAAAATTTGAGAGTGAAAACATTTGGCCGACGTTGTCATGATGGATGGTTCTTGCAATAAAAATATTATTGTGTTTGGTTTTCTTTGGTTGCTTATGTTATCAAATGTTGATTTATGCATTTGCAGTACATCCTCTCAAGCTCAGTGCCTTCCAAGTAAGCGAGAGGCCTTGCTTAAGATGAAGCATCATCTTTCAGATACTTCAAACAGGCTTGCCTCTTGGTCTCCCTATGGAATTAATTGTTGCAACTGGGAGTTCGTTGTTTGCAACAACATCACAGGCCACATTCTTGAGCTTCACCTCACAACTCCACCTCCTTTCCTGCATGAGACATCAATATTTGGTGGTGAGTTACATTCTTCTACGCTTGATTTGAAGGATTTGAATTGTCTAGACTTGAGTGGCAATGATTTTGGATATATGCAAATTCCTACTTTTCTTGTTTCAATGGCTAGCTTGAGATATCTTAACCTATCTCATGCTGGGTTTGGTGGAAGCATTCCTCATCATTTTTGGAATCTTTCCAATTTGATCTATCTTGACCTTGGAGGTAATCTTTTTGAAGGAAGCATTCCTCATCAAATTGGAAGTCTCTCCAATTTGATCCATCTTGACCTTAGAAGTAATTATTATCTCAATGGAAGCATTCCTCATCAAATTGGAAATCTCTCCAATTTGCTCCATCTTGGCCTTGGAGGTAATAGTTTCAATGGAAGCATTCCTCAAGAAATTGGAAACCTCTCAAATCTAAACTATCTTCAAGTTGAAGGTTTTAATCGATATTCCAAGGATGGATATCTATAGATGTCAACATCTGTTGAAAATCTTCATTGGCTTTCAGCTCTGTCTTCACTCTAATATCTTGAGCTCATTCAAGTAAACCTATCCAATGCCTTTGATTGGTTGCAAATTCTACATTCACTTCCCACCTTGAGAGAGTTGCACTTGTCATACTGTGATTTGAATAATTTTTCAACCATTCAACTCAAACTTTTCATCTTTAATTGTCCTTGGTATTTTTGGTAGCTACTTTTACACTTTATTGATCGCAAAATGGATATTTCAATTGAAAAATTTGGTTCATCTTCAATTAAATATTGATTTTCAAGGTTCCATCCCAAATGGCATTCAAAACTTAACACTGCTTCAACATCTTGATTTGTCTCAAAATTTATTCAACTCTTCCATCCCTAATTGGTTGTATAGTTTTAGTCATTTAAAGTCTCTAATTCTCTCTGATAACTCGTTGGTTGGCACTATTTCTAGTAATATTGGAAATTTGACTTCTCTTGTTACTCTTGATTTGAGTGGTAATCATTTAGAAGGGCCAATTCCAATTTCTGCGAGGAATCTTTGCAACTTGAAAAAATTGTCTTTTTCCAAGCAATAAGCTCAACCAACAAATTTCTAAAATATTAAAAATCCTTTTTGGATGTGCTTCACAAGCATTGGAAAATTTTTATATGTATGATGCTCAATTATCTGGCCATCTCACCAACCAGATTGGTCTTTTCAAAAATCTTATTGATCTTGATCTTGCTGCAAACTCAATTCAAGGTCCTATACATAGCTCATTGGGAAATCTTGCATCTCTAAAGCACCTTGATTTATCTAATAATGCCATTAATGAAGAACTTGCTAGCTCCTTAGGAAATCTTACATCTTTGATATCTCTTTGTCTTTGGGACAATGCTATTCATGGTGCATTTGCTAGTTGGTTGGAAAATTTAACATCTTTGATGCTTCTTGATCTCACAAACAATCAACTTAATGGAAATCCTTTTGAAATTATAGGTCACTCTCTAAACTAAATTACCTTTATTTGGGATATAATCTCTTTCAAGGAGTTGTTAAAGAAGCTTACCTTGTTAATTTTACCTACTTACAAACATTCTTAGCATCAAAAAATCAATTCACTTTACAAGTAGGCCCTAATTAGAGTCCTCCTTTTCAACTCATGCAAACTTTAAGTTTGACCTCTTGAAATTTAGGTCCGTGCTTTCCTTCATGGATTCAATCATTGAACCATCTTTATTTTTTGGACATCTCGAACACAAAGATTTTTTATTCTCTTCCAACTTGGTTTTGGGACACAATAGGCAATAATGCTCGGTATTTGAATCTCTCTCACAATCAAATTGAAGGAGAGCTTTCGAATATGTGGATAAACACAACTTGGCCCTATGTTGTTGTTGATCTAAGCTCAAATAAATTACATGGCCAATTACCTTATGTATCACAAATTGTGAGGTACTTAGACCTTTCAAGCAACTGGTTTTCAGGATCGATTGTTCATTTCTTGTATCATAAACAAGAGGAGACAAAGGAGTTAGAGTTTCTTAATTTGGTATCAAATAATTTATTAGGTAAAGCACCTAATTGCTGGATGACATGGCCATATCTTAAGATAGTGAACTTAGAGAACAACCATTTCACTGGGATCTTAAATATATCCATGGGATCCTTTCCATGGTTAATAATGTTGAACCTTCGCGTTAATAATTTTTTTGGAAACTTCCCAACTTTTTTGAAGAACACAAGCAACTTAATTTTCTTGGATTTAGGAAAGAATCAATTTTTAAAAAGAATTCCAACATGGATTGGACAAAAGTTGTCAAATTTGAAGATTCTTGTTCTTAGATCGAACAAATTCTGTGGTCCAATTCTACGTCAAATTTGTGGCATGAGTATTTTACAAATTTTGGACCTTGGACAAAATGAGTTGATAGGACAAATACCAAAATGTGTCAAGCATTTGAGTGCTATATCAGTGATTAATAGTAGTTTGGAGTCATCCATTTCTTTTTGAGAAGTTTATGTTGATTCATTATTGGTAGTTAAAGAGCTATTGTTAAAAGGAAGAGTTTATGATTATAGCACCACCTTGGGTCTTATCGCCAATGTGGACTTTTCATGTAATGAATTATCTGGAGTGATACCAACAGAAATTACAGCACTTAAGAGACTCCATTTTTCGAACTTTTCAAATAATCATTTCATAGGCCAAATTCCTCAAAATATTGACAATATGAAATCACTGGAGTCTGGATTTTTCAAGAAATCATCTTTCAGGTGAAATTTCCCCAAGCATTTCTGAATTAAGCTTTCTAAGCTTCCTTGACTTGTTTTACAATAATTTGAAGGGGAAAATTCCAACAAGGACCCAATTGCAAAGCTTTGAAGCATCAAGTTTTGTTGGCAATGATTTATGTGATCCTCTGCTCACCATTAATTGCACGTCAAACGGCTCTAATGGCAAACACCAAGAAGTTGACCATGTGAATAGAATTAATTGGTTCTTTATGAGCATGGCATTTGGATTTATTGTGGGATTTTGGGCTGTGGTGGGTCCTTTGCTCTTCAGTAGATCGTGGAGGCAGGTTTATTTCAAATTCATCAATAACATGTGGTATAAATTGCAATCTTGTTAGTACTGGTGAGAAAGCTGAGGCCAAATTTGCATTTGGAAGGTTGGTGTTGGTGTAATATCAGTGATTTATCTATCTTGTAATCATATATGCTTTTCATTGATTTGAAAATTGATGCAAATAAATTCTTTGACAAGCATTGTGTAATTGAACTATGAATGTTATGCCATTATATAATATATTCCATGTGATGAATGAGTCTTTTTATAATAGATGCATTGAATATAAGACCGAAGGAAACACAATTATGTATTTATTTCATAAATAACATTTTAAGAACTACCGTGAATTTATGAAAGTCTCCAAGCCTAAATTATAAATGCATATATAAACAATTTCTTAATATCCTATTAACATCTGTTTAATAATTAAATCTAATATTTTTGATGGATTATTCTTCAATAAGCAATACTCCATATCACAAAACCATTAACACTGCAACAGTCAAACAGCTAAGTTAGTATTTTGTTATACCTTATAATATACTTGATCACCTTACCCCAAAATAAATCATGATGATGATGTTGTTGCCAGTCTTAGATGGCTATTGACGTCTAGTTCCAATTATAATACAAATGATATTAAAGTCAAATAAGCTTTAAATATGAGACTTAACTGTAAATAAGATATCTAGGCTCAACATCAATTTTTAAGTAGTTAAACAATTACCATTCACCAAACCAAAATAATCAAGCAATTCTCTCTCTCTCTCTCTCTCTATCTAATTAAAATCCAAGTCCTTTTCTATGCAGCCTAATATTAAGGGCATTGTCAATAAAATGCCGTGTGAAATATTTTTCTCAAACTTACTTTTGAAGAAACCTAAATGTCATAAGATAAATCATAAGAATTTTTATATCAGCATCCCACCTACCCCTTTACTCATTCTCAGGAACAACATCTGGAATACCTTGAAAGTATATGCAATTTAGAGATTCGAACATTAATTGAAAGATTGAATTAGAAAGTTTGTCTATCAATTATCTCCTAATGTTTCCACATTAAATTAATGCATTTAGACATTCAACACTCAAAGCAACAAGATAAATTTCTCAATACGTATACTTAACCCTACAACAACACTCATAAATGAAAAGAATATTAGATATAAAGAACCAAAACAATCATATTCATCCATTTATAGAAAATAAATAGATGAGGATGGCTAATAATATAAATTTTTAGGTGCACATGATTTAATGGCTCCCGATACATTTGAAAACACATTACAATTGGTGTCTTCTAGATTGGGGATTTCACTGGCATACCCGCTTTGGTGAGAGTTTTAATGTACTTTTTTGAGTCATCTTTACCAAGAAGCAGACTCAAAAATGTAGATTGAAACTCTCACTAAAGTAGGTGATTGGGGTGTGCCACTAGAATGCCCAATCTAAAAGACAATTAGTTGAAGTGGGAGATAATTTACTTTAATGTTCGTTCATACAAAATAATAAGTTATTTTGCTCTTATGCTAAAAAGAATTGCCAGTATCGTCTAATTAATTGTGATTGGTTAATGACTTTTTTTAAGAGTTTTTGATATCTAACAAACCAACATGTGCAGGCTTTAGAGCATAATTAACTAATTATTCTTCATCTAAATTCAATTCCAGAGTACATAAAATATGAAATTATAAAAAATGAAGAATAATCTAACCACAAAATACATATCTTTAACATAAGTTTGTAGAAACTAAAACTAAAACTAAAACTTTATTCATTGATGAGCCTATTGTTACTAGTTTGTAATTGAAGAAATAGGGAAAAGAAAACGAAAATTAAGCCCATAAGCCACTATTGAGAAATCCACTATAAGATAACTAATTCGATCAAATGCTGATTCAAGAATTTGAAGAGCCTACCGAAGTCCATTGAAAGATTGGAATAGAATATGATATATGGGACTGACAGAGAGAGATATGAAGAATTTTTCTACAAAAAATATGGTAAAAAGAGCCGAAAGCCTATCCTTACCTCTATCATACATATTTCCTTTAATCTTTGTTTTCTAAGATCATTTGTTAATTTTTAGTCCTTTTTATTGTTCAATAGGTCCTATTCAAGACACAATCCAGCGCTAAAAAATATGGGCACCTTTCCCTGCTGAGATTTAAACTTTGGTTCCTTATATTGTGACTTGTGAGTAACTAACCCCTTTCTCTATGTCACACCCTATATGCACAAGCACACACCCTTTATGCCTTGATTAAGGAAAAATTCAAAATAAATACATTGGACATATTATAAACATAATTATATATAACTATTTTACTTTTCACATAAATCAAAATATCAAACTTTTTGTAAAAATTTTGGCAATACCTCTCTTATAAATAGGAATTCTCAAAATTTCTACAACAGAAATTGTTAGAAAATGACAATCAGAATACAAATTTTTGCTCCTCAATAGTAAACAGACAACATTAAAAAAAGGCCCTAGCTATAGTTAATGTGGAGCACCCTAAACCGTGTTTCCAAAATCATAATATATGTATGTATGTATGTATGTATGTATGTATGTATGTTAGAATTTACATTAGAAAGGAAGGTGTTTTCAAAATAAATATTCACCCAGCTATGTTGTATGCCTCTCAGTGACTGACTGGAGGTTCAGCATCAGTTAATGAATTTAATACCAAAACATTTTTCCAATGAATAATGTCCATAATAATAAAATTTTAAAAGAATAAAATAATAAACCCAAGCAATCATGTAAAATAATTGAAAAGAAAATAATTCAATTTAATAAACTCCCTTAATGTCACACCCTAGTATTTAAGGTGTGATCAACACAGAATATGAGATAGACTCACATTCCATAAGTCTTACATAACTAGGAAATTAATTCAAAATAATAATATAATTTACATCTAAATTTTAACTATTTTGTAAAAATTTTGACAAAATTTTCCCTGTAGTTAGAACCTCCCTAAAATTTTTACCATAACAAAAACCTATCAGCCAAACCAAAAAAGGAAAGTTAACTCCTCACCAGCAAATTTCACGATAATAAAATAAAACTAGGACCTAACTACAGTATACGTGGAGCATTAAACTATAATTGTATAATATAATGCATATTCACATCAAACTAAATATCAATATGTGCTTCTAATAACCAAAAGTAATAATACCCCTCAATGATTAGCAGGAGGTGCAGGGTCAGCTACATCTGAGACCAAAAAAATTTCTAATGAGTAATGTTCCAATCAAAATTATAATTAAAATATTATGAAGATAGTAACTAATAAATTTAATTCAAAACAACTTCATGAAATAATGAAACATATACTTAAGCTAACAATAGATAACGAGTTTTCTCAATAATATAACCTTGAAATTAAACAATGCTATTGGAATAACATAAATGTTTAAAAATCTGTACAGCTCATAAAATATATATAAAAAATTTCAATAGTAGTGCAATTCGATAAAATGCTTTCAGAGAATTAATAGAGAAATGAAAATTTAAATTTAAATTTAGGAGGGCTTTATCAGAACGAATAACAAGCGTGAACACACAGTCCACGAGGGTAAATAACCAATTAAGCATGGACATACAGTCCACGAGGGTAAGTAACCAGTCAAGTGCAGCTAAACGCCACAAAACAAGAGCGACAGGAGCCACGAATCAAGCGCAAGCATGAAGCCCACGAAAAAGAAGCATGAGTGCGGTGCTCACGAATAACCGTCCCTTTGTTCCAAGTACGTTGGCCATCGTATGGAGCAAGCACCTCCTATAAGCACCCTGCTAGCTAGGTATACCATGACGTGCCAAGGGCTAACGGAACTGCTATTAGCATCCAGCGTTCTAAACTCAGTCCTCCTCATAAAAATCAAGTGTATAGAGAAAAAAAATAGTTTCAAAATTCTTACTTTCAAATATTAATCCCCTATCATTTTTCATTGCCCAAAATTATCATCATTTCCTCCATATACAATTCATTGAAATAAAAACTTTTATATCAACATAAAATTAAATAATTAAACTGTTTATGAGAAACAATACCATTAAAATCAAAATAGGATTAACAAGAATATGTAAACAATTTATAAAGCAATGACAATAATATTTAAATAAAGAAATTTTAATAAAAATTTTACTGAAAATATATTCAGAACGCCACCCACTCACCTGATAGTTTCCTAAAATTTTAAAGCGTGCTTCTCTTAATCTTTCACTTTAATTCTAATGGTGTTCTTGATTTCCTTCTTCCACCCCAAAACAGCAAAGGAAAGAGCAGAGATTTAGCTCAGCACAAGACAAAAAATATACGAATAGCAGAGATGATCCAATAAAGCAAGAGGCATGCCGATAGTGAGGAGAAGAACAATACGGAGGTAAAGATGAAGGGCTCGACAGTGACGAGAAAGGAAGTCTAACGTTAGTGAAGAGAAGAGATAAAAATGCTCTGTTTTTCAATCACGAAAAATATAAAAATCTAATCAAAGAAGTACTCAAAAAATTAGTAGAAAGAGCATGAAAAAATCACAAGAAAAGGCACAATAAAATTACGAGAAAGGGCACTACATTTTCCTATAATTTTAAAACTAAACTTTTTCTTAGAAAATTTTGGACCCTAGATCCTTGAGAAAATTTCTAGAATAAATTCTTATAAACTACCCCTTTCTACTTGCCATAGAACTTATTTAAATAAAATATCTATTGGGAAAAAATTTTGTTCAATTTAAAATTTAGGGTCATTACACTTAATCTTGAAATCATAAATAATAACCATAAAGTGAGAGTGAACTAAAATTACTTTACCCTTTCATGCTTTAGAAAACAAATAATTCATATATGAAAAAAAGTGGTATACTTTCATTGAAATTTCAAATACACAATTCAATTAAAAATTCAATTTTGAGGATTTGACAGAACAGATAACAAACATGAATACACTATCTACAAGGATAAATAACTAAACGCAACTTATGCAATAAAGACAAACATAGACACACATTCCATAAGGGAAATTCTAACCAAATGCTATTTGAATCCACAAAAATCAAGCACAAGCACGAGCCCCACAAAAAATAAATGTGAGAACAAAGCCTCACAAAAAAAAATAAATTAGCTAGTTATTAACTACAGAGCTCTACAGGTTAACGTAACTGCTGTTAACAACTAGTGTTCTACATATAGTCCTCTTTAAAAATCAACTTTCAAATATGCATGGAAGTTTCATAAATATCATTTCATAATTTCATTAATAAATTACATGCATGACTTTATCAAATAAGAATCATTTAAATATACATTTAAACCATTTTATCCAAAATAATATGTTTTACAAACTAGAATAATTTATTTTTTCATGTTATCAATAATGAAAATATCTATTAATAGAAGTTGGTAAATAAAAATTTAAATAAAATATTATTTTGATAAAAAATTTATAAATTAATTGGGATGCTATTTGTTTACCTGTAGTATTCTCAAGGTTCAAAATTCACTTCTTATAATCTTTAATCTAGTTTCTCTTCTTCTTCATTTTAGTAAACTCTGTTTCAGCATTACACTATAAAAAAATTAACTTTCAACAGTGACATTTGTCACCACTAAAAGCTAAAAAGTCATCGCTGAAAGTTTTCAACAGCGAAAAAAAGTCACTACAATGTCTCCGCGAGAGCTCTTGTCGTTGATTCAATCTGCGGCGACAATAAAAGTCACCACTAAAAGTTGAGAATCAACGGTGACAATGTCGCCGCAGTAAAGAAAATTTGTCACCGCTGAAAAATAGTCGCCACTGAAAGTTAAAAATTAACAGCGACATTTTGTCGCCATAAAAACCATACATCAGCGGCAACTATTTTGTCGTCGTTGAATGTTAAGTATTAGTGGCAACATTTGTTACTGCAAAAACTACCAATTAGCGACGACTTTTTTGTCGCCGTTGAAAAATAATATTGGTTCACTTACACACATGGTGCCACATCACTGTCCACGTGGTGCCCTACCTCCCTCCATGTGGCGCCCCGTCACCCTCCACGTGGCGCCCCACCTCACACCATGTGACGCCATGTCATTCTCCACGTGTCACTCCCACCACACATCACGTGTCTTCATGTCACTAATTTATATTTTCATTTTGAAAGTTGTCCTCCTCCAAGGTTTGAACCCATAACCTCCTCCTTTTGTGTCCAACCATTTTGCCACTGAGCTGGAATGAACCTATAGTCTATTATTGCATAATTAAATATATATATATATATATTATTAAACTATACAAACACACACATATATTAAATATTAAATATTATAAAATATCATTACTATTCTTAAATACTTCAATTTAATTCTTTTAATTTATAAAATTTCAAATTATATTATTTGTTTTGTTTAAAGTAAACTATAAATGTAATTGATACAATATCATTTGTATTATTTATTTTAATTTTTTTTACTTCTTGAGGTTGTTATATTATTTATTTTAATATTCATATTTATAATTATAATATAAAAATATCTAAGAATAAATAGTAAAAATATTGATGATTATACATTAGTTTATAATCATTTATATTTCTAAATTAGCATCAAGCTTTAAAGTTACTGGTGTTAAATGTAGAATTTAAATTGAAAAATTAGATTAAATGAAATATCATTCTATGAATGAATAAATTTAAACATCACATGTCTAACTATTATAAACAAGTAGTGTTAATGACTTCTATATTAATCTGATGGCTTATGCTTTTTCTATCTTCTCTTCTATCTTGAATATTTAAGATTTTTCACTTATTACTTATAATTTTAAATTTAATTTTTAATTATTAATTAGTCAAAAAATATATATTAAAAATTTCATGCTTATTTTGGCCATAAAACATCTCAACTGACCTTTAAATAAAATTATCCAAATAAATTTTAGTTTATCTAACTGACTTTTAAAAAGAAAAACATATCCAAACATAAATTATATTACATTTCTAACTTTTCTTCCAACCATAGTTTGCTAACCTCAGTTGTAATTTTTTTAATCCAAATACACATGTAAAATAATATGGTTTGGCTTAATTCTTTACTCTAGCTCATTAGCATTAAATAATACTTTAACATTATCTTAAGGTTACAATTTAACCATAGAATATATTACATGAAAACTCATTATGTTATTTTATATATTCATTACAAAATTACAATAATACAACAAAATTCATGTTTTAAAATGTTACATACTAGATAAATAAAAATAAAAAATTATGATGATAATACAAAATCAAACTTTCAATAGGAACATTCAAAGTCACTGCTAAAAGTCTCATTTGAATGTCATCGCTAAAAGTCTCATTTTCAACAGCAACATTAAAAAGTTGCCGCTAATTCTCAACTTTCAGCGTCAACTTATATGTCACCACTGAAACCTATAACATAAGTTCTTTTAAAAATTATAACATATTATAAAATATGTTGACAATCAGTGGCGATTCTAAAAAGTCGCCCTTGATTGTCAACTTTCAACCGCGACTTATATGTCGCTGCTGAAACTTAAACTTTCGGTGGCGACATGCACTTGTCACCACTGAAAGTTTGACAATCAGTGGTGACTATATTTTGTCACCGTAGAAAGTTACTATTTCAGTGGCGACTTCAAATGTCGCCGTAAAAAGTCATACTTTTAACAGTGACTTTTACTGTCATCACAGATTGTTCATTTTCAATAGCAACTTTTTAGAGTCGCCGCTGAAAGTCATTTTTTTTGTAGTGTTAACACCACCATAATCAACTTCAATAATTTAAAGCTCTCCAGACCTCATCATTTGTACCGCCCAAAAAATTAACTAACAAGAATATTGAAGTTCAAAATACTATAATTTGCATAGTACCACCATAATACTTTATTCATAGCTCATTTCTCTATTTAAATATGATTTTCACTTAGGCCTTGTATCAAACACTTCATGTGTGTAAATTTCCAAACTACTCCATACAACTTTTTAATCTTTGAATCTCCAACCCAACAATTTCTACATGCTTTTCAAGTTCAACTCCTCCTACCAAATGTGAAAAATCAATTGTGCTTAAAAAAGGTTCAAACTCATGTCTAACTTCCTCGAGCAGCAACTACCCTAAGAATAGATAAAATACTTATAAAAAACATGCTCTTTAAAGTTTGAATCTCAATCTCCCCTTCCCAATCAAACACGTATAGGAGCACAAGAGGTAAAAATTGCAACTTAAATCATTAAATCATACGTCCGTGGATACAGGATCAACATGAAGAAGAGTTCAATGCTTCTCACCTTAATCAGCATTGATAGAGAAGGGAGGAAAAGGAAGAAACCGAAGCACAGATCGAAAAGAAGGAGAGGAAAACCTAATGCATCCACGCAACATGGATACAGGAGACACAATCGACACTAGCATTCACAATCGGAGAAGAAAGGAGGAGCTTGAAGGTGACACATGCACAAGATTATTCACAGCTAGCAAGGAGGAAGGGAGGATGAATGGATCTCGGTTGAGGTGATAAATGGCAGAGCAATCGCGGAACACATTTACATTTTTGCTAGCGATAGTCTGAATTGCGAAGGAAGATCAAAGAAGATGTGGAAGGTTTTAACCTGAGTTTCTCTTTCACTCTCAATCTTCAAGTGCAATCGAAAGAGGAAAATGGGAGGAGAAGAGGATGCTTCCTAATCTTTACCACTAATTATTTAAATTTAATTTTAAATTTTCTTAAAAAAACACAGGGGCAAATTGATAATTTCACTAAACAAAGAAAAGAATAAAGCCCTTCTCTTCAAGATATGAGTTCTCGAATCCATGACCCGATGATATGTGTTCCAAAATTAATAAAAATACTAAAAATAGTTTAGACACCTTCTTATTAGTTAGATTTTCTTAAATTAATTTTTTGGGTCATTACACTCTAGACCCTACCTCCCGTTGGTTGATTTTGTAGTTTTATTGCTACCAAATTGCTTTTCTTATTGAAGAGTAAAAAGACATAACCAATCGTCATGTAATTTTTTTTTTTTGTGCAAACATGTTGGCATGATTTTGAATACATGCATGCAAGTCTAAAGAAAAACTTACATATCCTGCCCTTGCTCAGTAGCTAGAGCAGTCTTAGCAATACACAAAAAGGCAGCATGAATATTGCAGTCCTCTTTCGCACATGTCTTAGAGTTGGGAATATTTACTTTTGAAGCACACCAGTTGTCCTTTGCTTTCTTCTTAAAGATATGAATTCAAGATAATTAAATCATCATACAAGCTATCACAAAACTACCCACATGAGGCTCCTCAGGTGGTAGGAAGTTCAAGAACTCCTCCAATAATTACTATAAGAACTGCAACATTGCTACAGTATCATATTCGTTGATTGGAATTCTTGCATTGACTTTATTAAATGGTATTTATCTTAGAATATGAATTTTGTGAGAGGCGAACTCAAAGAGACGTAATTGGTGGCTTTTAGTGCCATATTAAGCTTTTTAAATAAAAATGTTATAAATACATAATGTTACAGAGTTGAAAATGACTGCAAAGTTAACAAATAAAAAAATACATTATATAGTTTGATTATGTTATTAGGTACTCCCTCCGTTAAAAAATATAAGGTATTTTTAACCGAATCTTACTCTTCAATAAAGTAGTTACCTACTTTCAAACTAACCCTATCTTTTTATATTTACCCTTATTAAACATTCTATAATAAATATAAAGTCACTATCAATAGAGGCAGTTTTTTTAAAAAAAAAACAATGATTATACCTTGAAAGGCTAAAAATGCCTTACATTTTTAAATATTCAACTCCTTAAAAAATGCCTTACATTTTTTAATGAATGAGTATAACCTTGCTTCTTCTTTTTTTTATTCATTGCATTTAAATGCTCCATATTTAAACAAGATGCATGTGTTATTAGGAATTTTTGAAAGGGTATAAATAGAAAAATGAAGATATTTTTTTAAAAATTAAGCTTTCAACTAATATTTTTTGTAAATAATAAATTAATTAACAATGACATAACTGTAACCTGGAGAAAGTATTTATTTAGACAGTTTCAATAAGACATCTCAATTACAAAACAAAGATTATTTTTAGAATCTAAATATTTTATTTATAATTATAACTATTGAATTTTTAATTATTTAAATCAATATTTATAATTTATTTTTCAATATTTTGTCCAAAATCTAATGCTTATTATTATTATTATTATTATTTTGTTTCAGCTGTTAACTGTCACGATCCCTGCATGTGCCTAACAGTTTCTCCGCACGTGATTAACAATTAACATCCTCCTCCTCTTGTCGCTGCCACGTGTCACGTAGAAATAAAAAAAGGGGAAAAAAATAAATGATGAATAGTTTTTGAAATTAACGGAGCAGGTTTTGGCGTGACTGTTTAAATATGGGATCCAAAGTTTAAAGTTCATATGAGTGCAAAAAAGTATCTTTAGGAGAGAGAACATTGTTTAGAACCTAATTCAGCTCAATGCCGAATTACTTCTCGTAATCGAATGTGGCTTTGATGCAAACAATTTGCTAAAAGAAAAAAAAAACCAGAAATGACTCAATCATCAATTTTCTTGCAAAGAATATAGTTGCCCCAACGAAGAAACACTAATTTTGGGCTATGACAATAGTGATTGTACTGTGCACTCAAGCTTGGCATAGTCCAAAAGAAAGATTACACCACAACTTTGCTTTTTTTTTTTTAAGAAACAATGTTTGACCAAAAAAAAAAACAAAGAAAGAAGGAAAGGAACAATGGCTTGGCTTGCATAACATGCTTCTTTTTATATGAATTATGGATCCATGGGCTTTAAACATGGGTCAGTTATCTAATCTTGAAATAACAATAACATACTCTGACCTGAGCCTTTGTGGTGTATTAGTCAACATTCTCTTTAATTGGTTTAGTTGATTGTTGTCCATGACAACTAATTGAGGGAGAATTACATTCATGTATTATAATTTTACTAAATTCATAATTAAATATCTCAATAATTCTTGCGAGTTAAAGCTGATAATTTTTTGACAAGAAAAGTTCATAACTTTAAAAAATTTTGCTTGTAATTTTCTTATATTATAACTTGTGTGTTCATTTAGAGATGACTCTATTAAGAATTAGAATGATTGACAATCTGAAATATGATGGTAATAATTTCAAAACAAAATTCAAGTTCTTTGATCCTTCTGAGTTTTTTGAGTTCTTTTATGAAAAATTTTAAAAATCACAGTGCTTGAATGTAACTGTTCGTCGTTGAAATCTATGATTATATAAGTGCGTGTTTGCCCTTATTGAAGGGCACATGCAAGAGTAAAAAGTAAATGGCAAAAGATTTTAAAAACAATTTATTTGACTTTAAGAATCTTGTTTGTAATTTTGCCATGCGCAGGACGATCAACGAGTCAATTATAAAAGACTTTACAATGTTAGATTATGACAGCAAAAGAATTTTCCATAACATGTGATTTAACCATTTCTTTTTTACAAATAATAATAAATAGTATCTTTCATTAACAATTCTTGTGTGGAAAATTTAAACGTTCGGACAAAAGTAAACAGCACATGGATGGAAATATATGAAAAAATAAACCATGGAATATTGATAAATAATAATAAATGAACCACATTTTTCTTTTTTCCTTGCCCTGTTTTCAGTTATCCAAATATTGATAAAGAAACCTATGGAATTATATTTGTAATCTCAGTCCAACTTTTTAAAGTTGAATGACTATCATATACAATTAGTCGCTTTTTAAAAAAAAAATTATATTCTATGGAATGGGAAAGATGAGTGATACTTTATAAATTGTAAAAACTAATTAGCATAATTGCTATAAATTTTAAATTGAATACTAATAATATAGATGTGTTTATAGTACAAAGTGGATAAAAGAATTATTTTGGCCATATACATGTTAAGATGAAATCAATATTATTATGGCATATTCTTAAAATAAGATTAATTAAAGAACCGAATATATAATTTGAATATCTTTTATAATAGAAAAATAATATATCCTCAAATATAGATGGGGATTTCTTTGCTATTCTTACATGGAGGGTTTTCATAAAAAAAAAAAAAACTAGTTTGTGCCCTATATATGAATGAAAATAAGTTTCCCCTTATCATAAAAGTTATATAAATATCATTCATTATGTCCTGATTTTTATTAATATTGCTCGTATTTATTAGGTGACTAAACTTTTATGTCTTGTTGAATAGACATCCCAACTTACATGAATTAATTAATACGGCATGTGAGAAAATAACAGAGTACTCAGCCACATCAATTAGATGATGGGGCATTATTATTCTAACCACTAATGCACAAATGATCATGTGGCCTGGCTTCAAGAAAATTTAATTCGATTTTTTAATATTTTTTGTTTTATTACATTTTCTTAATTTATACATTGCATAATTGATCAACCCTTTGAATTTTTTCTTTTTTTTGCAAATTTTTATGTTTATGTAACAAGTCTAGCACAAAAGACTAAAAAATTGAATTATAACTAAAAAAGAATCTGCAACTTCACCATTTTTAACAAACACGCACATGAATAACAAGTCAATTATGAAAGATTTTACAAGATTAGATTATGATTGCAAAAGAATTTTCTACAACACATACTTTTACAACTTTTCTCCTTGGAATGCCCATTCCTCATGTTGTGATCCAAATTCATGTTTTATTATGAATTTTTTATTTATTTTCTAGTAAATAGTGATATTTCACTCTCTAAATGAATATTGATATTGTAAAGGTGCTTATGATATTTGGCGAGGTACTTAAATGTTAGAAAAAATAATAATAAAATCTCATTAAATTATGTAAATGATAATAAAATTGCTCGAAATGTTATAATTCCCTTGAAGTTTCTAAAGATTTTTCTATCATAAAGAAATTAATATAAATGATTAAGTTGTCCTTAATTAGTTCAAATATCAATTGCCATTTACAAGTCTTGTTCTAAGATTCAGAACTTTTCTTCTTAAAATTGCAAGAATGCAACAACAATTTACAAGTTCACATTTGAAATCTTGAATTAAGTGTAATTTGATCATTTATATTAATTTCTTAATGACAAAAAAGTCCCTTGAGATTTCAAGGAAATTATGGTATTTTAAAGGACTAAAATATCATTTACATAATTCAAAGGAATTTTATTGTCATTTTTCCTAAATGTTATGTTGAAATTAGTTATATTTTGGCATATTTTTAAAATAAAAGGATTGACTACATAATTTGAACATTATGACAAGGAACAATTTTTTCTTATATATAAATAGGATTTGTTTGTTTCTCATACATGAAAGGTTTTCAAGGAAAAAATCATTTGGACTTGATGGATGAAAATAAATTTCCTTTTTCATACGTAGAAAATTATATAAATAATTTGTTATATCTTTATTTTGATTGTTCTTATTCATTAGATTGTACTTTTGCCCAACATGCATAACAGAGGACCAATCCATATAAACTAATTAGATGATGAGCCATTATTCTAATCACTAATACAGAACTAATAACGATCAAGAGTCTTCAAAAAGAATTAGATTTTTTTTTATATTTTCTTAATTTATGCATTGTAAATTTTTAAATGAGCAAAAACATTCTTCAAGAAAATAGCTATGCAAGTATTAACAACCAGAAACTTTTTGCAACAAAATACATGTTCTTGAGGCCTTTGGCTTACTAATTTTAGTTTTTAAATTTTTTATTTTAAATTAAGAAATTATATCTTGTAGTTGATGGGCCCATGTAAAGCAAAAATTTAAGGCCAATGACCTTGTAGTATAGTGACATGCAAGCTCCTCTATAAGGGGGCTCACGGGTTGGAATAAATATTTATTAATTTTATTTTAATAAGATTTTAGCACTTCTAAAAAAAGAGTTAGGAACAAATAACCATTTTAACTCCATAATAATAAGCCAAGTCAAATGGTCAATGAGGTCTACACATAATTCACATAAGCAAATAACAGTGAATTGTTTGTTTTTAACAGAAGGATAAAATTACTCCTCAAAAAAATAGTTACATGGTACTCAGCACTTTTGTGGAAAAAAAAAGTTCAAGGAAAAAATGATCTTTATCTTTCATTTTTCTTACTTTTTTTTTTTCTGGTTTTTCTCTTGTTTTCTGTCCTAAATCGAATGACTTTTGATACTGTGCTAAATTCTTTATATTAAGTTGTAATAATAGTCTACTTCACTAAAATAGCTTAAGTCATCTAATTAGATGCACCCTAAACTTTATATATTCATAATATTTTTTTTTAATTTGTGGATGTGAGACTTCTTTTATTTCCGATAGTATATGAGATAGAATATCATAAAAAATACAAAGATACATCAAAATATTATAAAATTTTAAATTAATAAAATAATAAAATATTTTTTAAAAACAATGTTTCATGAAGATATCAAAAAAATAAAAAAATAAATTTGTATTGTTATAATCAAATATAAAATAATATATGATTTTTTATAAAATTAAAAGAAAATATTTTTATAAAATATTTAATTTTAAAAAAAATTAGTTCTTTTTAATCATAAATAAAGTGGTCATTAATTAGTCTTTGATAAAAAATTTTTTACAAACTAAGCCAAATTTTTTTTAACTTATGTCAAGAAATAGAGTGCTCATAATTTCATCACTATGCTATTCAAGTTTATGAATGATACTGTTGTTAAATGTAACAAGGAATATCAACAACAACAAAAAATTTTATCTTACTAGATGGGATTGGATCACAAGGAATATCAATTAAAAGAAAATATTATAAGACTTTTCTACTTAGAAAGCTCATTCGACACATTATGACTGACTATATATATATGTCTATAAAGTGGCTAACATTAAGATTCTATCATTCAACTTTATAATGTTCAATGAGAATATATATATATATATATATATACACTTTTACAAGAGTTTTGGGTGTGTATATTGGCATATTTTTCAAGTCAAAAGATTTAATATATAGTTTAAACATCTTTTATAATAGATAAAAATACTCTTAAATTAAAATGGTTTGAGTGCAAGGCAAAAAAGAAATTATTGTTTAGATAAAATAATGACTTAAGGATGATTTAGAAGCCCCCCCGGCATGGTGGATATGTTTTGCTTCTTACATTATGAAAAAATATGTTAACAAGATTTTTTTTCAATGTATATTGAAATATAACTGAATACAATCTTAAAACAAAATAAGTCGAATATAATTTAATCTTAAATGTTTTGACAAAAAATGTTGTTTAAAATTACTTCTTTTGCAACAAACACTCAGAATTTATTACTAGTGCAAAATAGTATTTCAACGACAAACTTTTTATCAGTATGCAAAATAATTATGGTAAAAAATGATACAGTGATAAACTTGTAAATAAGTGAAAAATTGAATATATTTTGGTGACAATCATAAGTATTCACTGATACCGTAATTCATTAAAATAAATTTTCAAACTTTAATTAAAAATTTAATAAATCAATTTAACTATACATATTTATTAATTAATTAACTAATTTAACATTGGCTAAATGTGTCTGAGAAACAAGTTTAAATGAATAATTATTAATTAAATATAATTAATGAATTTAAATAAGCTAAAATTGTAGTTAAATAATTTTTTTAATTAATTAATTTAAATGTATTTTAATGTGTCAAAGTGTAGACACAGTAAACTCTAAGATGAGCACTTATGGCTACAGGAAAGCGTCCACCATTAGATCAGAAAATTTGAGAGGGAAAACATTTGGCTAACGTTGTCATGATGGATGGTTACTGCAGTAAAAATATTGTTGTGTTTGGTTTTTTTTAGTTGCTTACCTAATCAAATGTTGATTTATGCATTTGTTGGGTGAGCATCATGCTAATCAATGTAATAAGATCTAAACCATCCAATTTTTTTTAACTTTTAAAAATAGTGCATTAAATGCCCTACCTATAGAATAATTAACTTTGATAATTAGTTAATTCAAAAAAAAAATCTGAAAAAACAGATAAAATTTACAAAAAAAGATGTAAAAAATTTAATCGATATTAATTTTCATATAAGATATTTTATTTTTAATTTTATGGATTTTTTAATAATTTTTAAACTCATTTTCTAAAAACTTTTAAGTCAACTAACTATCAAAGTTAATTTTATACTAAAAAAAGATAGGGGAACAAAATATTAAAAATTGAAAAGTAAATAATTTAAAATATCAAGAATATGAACTACAAAATACTAAAAACTATGTCAAATTTATAATTTTCCAGAGAATGAGGGGTGCGTTTTCATTTTGCCCACCCTCCCCCTCACCATCATGTGTCTCTGCCAAGGATAATGAAACTGCTTGTGGAGATGCAGTTGCTGTTGGATATTGAAAGTGAAAAGATGGTCCTTCCACGCATTAGTGCTATCCACCTCCAAATACAGCTCATAAAATCTCACTTCACCGCTCCATGTCACACTCAACGCAGTGATACTCCGAGTTCCATAAACACCCTTCGCCATACATTAATATCAATAACGAACATAGGGAAGGATATTAATTATTAGATTAAAATATTACTATGAAAATTTATAAATTATTTTTGACAATAAACTTTAATTTTTTTTTCCAAATAAAATATTTAATTTTTTTAAATTTATTTTTTAAAGTCTGATGGAGCGATTTATGTTTGAACCTCTTTTGTTTGTATTTGATATACTTATTGGAGCATTTTTTGTCATAAACACTCATAAACTATAGTCCACGAGAATATTTCTGTTTTAAAGGTTCCAGTTTGTTCCACCTCATGTTTTAAGAGTGTTTTTAAAAAGGGCTAAAAGTCATTTCCTTCCCATCAACTATTCGTTTAAGAGTGTCTGATATTCTAAACTTGCTTGTAATATAATTTTTCCCTTCAACTTTCTAAAATGATACACTAGACACCCAACCATTAAAAAAATTAACTTTTACTATTAGTTGATTAAACAAATTACAAAAAATGATCTAAAAAATTACAAAAAATGATATATAAAATTGCAAATAAGTATCGTATAAAAAAATTAATATCGATTAAGTCCCTAAAGTAATGATTTAATCAAAATCATATTTTGACCTTTTATGTAGGTAAGTAATAACATTTGTATCCTGTTATTTATTTACAATTTAAGAGACATAATTGATATTAATTTTCTTATAGAGTACTTATGTGTAATTTATGGATCCTTTTTTATATTTTTTGATATCCTTTTTTATAATTTTTAAGTCAACTAACGATTAAAGTTAACTTTTTTTAACGGCAAGATGCTCAAGCTTCATTTTCAAATGTTGAAGTAAGGAAATTTAACTACATAAAAGTTTAGAATACTAGATACTCTTAAGACAATAGTTAAGGGAAAAAAATATCCTTTAATTTTTTTAAAAAATACTTCTATATGGATGTTCCTGTAACCTATTTTATAGTGGTGGTTCCATAAACTCACTGTTGGACTATATATTAAGAGAAAATCACATCTAACCCCCTTTTATGGGAATTAATTATACATAAGGACTAATGCGGAACTGCTTGTTATTAAAATGGGAACATGACTTATTTTTTCTCGAATAAAATTTGTTATTAGTCTTTATTTGTGATTAGTTTCCTTAGGAGGGGGCTGAATATGATTTTCTCATATATTAATATCAATAATGAATAGAGGAAGAATATTAAATTAATGAGAAAGCAAGAGCCAGTATAAATATACCAAGGGGGTGTGGACGTGGACGAAGATGGAGCTCAAGGAAAGTTCCCAATCAGGAGAGCATATGCGAGGGAGAAGGGCAGGTGGGGCTTTCACAGAGTCCTTCATGATAGCACCAGCAATGCGGTCAAGAGCAATGGCTTTATCACTAAACTTGGCCATCTCTTGTTGGAACAACCCACGAAGCCGCTCAGCCTTGTGCCAAGGCGAGTTCAAGCTTGCATTGGAAACAACATGAAGGCCTGGCCTCACTTCCTGTACATGGAAGCTCTCACCTTGTGCTTTTGGTCCCCTGTTGCTCATGTAAACCATGGTTCTCGACTCTATGTCAACCACCACTAAATTGAATCCCCTGTAATATTCTCCTTCTGTCGTCAGTCCTTCCGCAAATTCTCTTGGACTCTTTGCACTCTGCCACAACCACATAAAAAAAAAAAAAAAAAGACTATGTAGAGAATGGGGAGCGATCAAACACAAACATGTAAGAATAGCCGAAGGACATCATAGATACTAACTCAAAACTTCAAGCCTTAAGTTTATGAATACTTCTACTTTATTATATAGTAGTATGAGTAAATGGAGGAGGAAACATACCTGATGTGATGCATTGATTGAGTCTTACGCGCACGTGAATAATGTTACATGTTTGAATTAACAACAGTGTATACAAAACATAAGCATGTATATTAATATATATATATATATATATACACCTTGAGAAATAGGAGTGGGAGGTCGCCCCGGGTTCTAGCATGAGGAAGAGTATGAGATTCCAAGACGTTAGTGAGAAAGGCAACTCTTCCATCTCTGGAACAAGCCAGCCATGTCCCTCCTCTCACCTCGTCTCGCCCCCCTAGTATCTCTGCTCCGTTGCCTTCCCACCATGACGCTGCCTTCGTCGCCCTTCATTTCACCATCGTCAACATTTACTTAACATTTTGTTATGAAATGAGAAAGAAGGAAAGAATGGAAGGATGGAGACATGAAAGCTTGCCTGTTGTGGTACTCGTCTCTGTTGTTCAAAAGGATCAAAGGGTAAAGTGGGTGGGCTTGCCAGAGAAACACCACTATGCACATTATTCTACGTCGGGGTTGGAACGTAGGAGATAATTCACAACATGGAAGCAAAGGTTGAACTAGGGAATAGATATAGATATCGATGACACTGACACTGGGAGACTTTTACACATCCTTACATAAGCACAATAATTTAGTAACTTCGTTTTAAGGGAAAATGAGGGCTGGAAATCGATAAGTTCAAGTTTTGGCTAAATAAGCTTGGGTTTGTATCGGAGGCTTAGAATTAGAGGTAGGAACATGAGCTAAATCATGAAACAACCCATATTTTATAGAATTATTTTTTTTATTTACTTTTTTATGTCATGTTTGAAAACTATTCAGATCAAATTTAATCATTTGAATTGTTAGATTTGGATTTTAAATTTAAAATCATACATTTAAATTTTATGTATTTAAAAGTTTTTGTTTGTATAGTATAAAAATTTCAAATTCAAAGATAATGGAAAAGGGGATGAGAAATAAAAATGGAAAGAGATGATAGGAGTGTAGTAGTTACAATTTTAAATAATTAGGATATTGGAGGGATTTGAAATTATAAAAGAATTCTAATAAAATATAGATTTGAATTTGGATATAAATCAAATACGAGTCCATAAATTTTTATGGATCCAAATGATAAATTTGGTTCAAATATAAATATAAATTCAAATTTCCCTATATCTAAACACAACATTAAATATTTTGATGTAAAATTATAAAATAAGTTTAATAAAATATTAAATAATAATGGTTGAAATTTTGATCCAATGATAATGAAGATAAATTAAAGGAAAGTGAGAAGTTCATCTCCCTAGCTTTTATTCGGATAGAGAGAAAAATACGGAGCAGAGAAAAATAGGGAGGAATACCCTTGAAAATAGTTAAAAAATTACTGTTTTTGGAAATTTATTTTTTCTTCCTAATTTTCTCCCCTCCCTATTTTCTTTCCATTTTTTCCCTCCATATCCAAACAAGAAAGGTGTGAGAGAAATATTTATAAAGGATATTAGTCTGACTAAGTCAAACCACTTATAACCTTATATTAGTCTACACGTGTCCATATCATATGATCACAAACTAACTAACTTGTTTAACGACAGTTATAATGGTTAATCTACCCACAGTTATTTCCCATTGTACAATAGAGGTTCTTCCGTGGCTGCAACGCACAAATAAATAAACTTTCTCTATTTATCCAAACATAATAAAATTCAAGTTTTTTTAACCCTTATAAGCAATTTGAATTTCAAAGGTTCTTTTATACTTAAAAAATATTTGAATTATTACTTAAAAAAATCTTGATTGTAATTTTACCGTTTTTAACACACAAGACAACAATGAGTCAATGATAGACTACAAAGTTGGATTAGGATACCAAAAGAATTTAAAAAAATTACATATAAGTCCTATATAAAGAAATTAATTCCTGCGAGGTCCATTAACAACTGACATAAAACGATGTACAATACAAATAGTTGTAAATCGACTTTTGTCAGTTGTCAACGGATCTCTCAGTAATTTATTTTTTTGTGTGGGTCTTTAACGTAATTCTCCCAAGAATTTTTCACAACACATAATTTAACAATTTCTTTTCCCCGAATAATAAATAGTCTCTTTCATTAACAATTCTTGTGTGGAAAATTTAAATGTTTAGACAAAAATTATATAAGGGTTTGTACTTAAAAATGACATTTTTTAAGAAAATTGGGCTTTGCAACCCGGCTCTAATAGACTCTTAAAAAAGGAGCTTGGATGGTTTGTTTGGACCTACTTTTATTTTACTTCTAAAAAATTAAATATTTTTAATTTTTAAATTAAATTTAAACTTTATAATATATGTTTATATTTTAAAATTAGAATTTTTATTATTTATTATTTAATTTTTTAACATTTTTATGTTTTAAAAAGAGTGTGAAGTATTATAATTAAACATTTTAATTTTTAAAAAGTAAAAAAGGTACTTATGGAGCTAGCCTTGCACTCTTTGAATAAAGGCTGAGCTTTAAAAAATAATTAATTTTGAAGTAACTCAACTTCTAGATTTGATTCCATGTGAATCAAGCCCTTGTATGCCTGTTTCCCGGCTCTATTGCACATAGCATGCTCCTTTATATTCTCTATTGTATATGGATCCACTGGCATTAAATATAGATCGGTGAGTTGGTCTTGGGGTCTTGAACTAAACATAACATACGCTGACTTGGGCCTTTTTATTTTTATGTATCACTCAACATTATCTAGAATTTGTTGAGTTGATTGTTATACATGACAACTGGTTGAGGGAAAAGTTACATTTATGTATTATAATTTTACTAAATTCATAATTAAAAGATCTTAATGATTCCTGCGTGTTAAAGCTGATAATTTTTTACTAGAAATTTGATAACTTTAAAAAACCTCGGATGTAACTTCCTTATTTTAACTTCTGCATTCTTTTTTATTATTAGAGTTGACTCTAATGAGAATAGTATGATAAAAAAAATTTAAATATAATGGTAATAATTTCAGATATACACAATCTCCGAAGCAACTTTTCATAAGAGAAAATATTCGGAAAAATATGATTATTAATTTTTTTAATTTTATTGAATTTTGCTTTTAATCCTTATAACTTTTTTTTAGTATTCTTAATCCTTATAAAGACTAAGAACATTGCAAGCACTAAAATTATAAGAATATGAGGAACAAATGTCATTCAATCTTATTAAAATTATAAAGATTGAAAATACTGAAAAAAACTATAATAATTAGAAGTAAAGGTTGATAAAACTATATGCACTTATAATTGAAAATATTTTTATCTAGTCATGACAAAATTCAAGTTCTTCGAGCCTTTTGAGTAATTTGAGGTTCTAAGGTTCTTTTATTGCAAATTCTAAAAAATCATGGTGCCCATTTTCAACATTTTCCTTTCTAGTTGACGACTACTTTAAATTTAACGTAACATTTCATTGAATTCTATCATTGGATGCATGTTTGCCCTTATTGACCGGCACAAGAGTAATAAGTTAACGAGAAAAGTCATTAAAAACAATTGGGTATAATTACGACTTAGAAAAATCTTGTTTGTATTTGTTCGATTTTTAATATGCATGACAATAATGGGTCAATCACAATAGACTTCATAAAGTTGGATTATGACTACAGAAGAATTTTCCACAAGACTACAACACATACCTTAACAATTTCTTTACTCCAAATAATAAATAGTCCCTTTCATTAGCAATTCTTGAGCGGAAAATTTAGTCTCTGTTTGGATTTCAGTTTTGTGTAATTAATTATAAAAAAATTAATTGATATGATTAATTTTAATTATAATTAATTGTATTATAATGTAATTTGTTTGGATATTATTCTTTTGAAATTAATTTTGACAGATTAAAAATATTTGGATGATTCAATCAAAATTAATTGTAGATGTGATATTAATAAAGATTCGTATGATATTATTAATTTTTCTTTGATTTATTTAACAAATAAAATATATATAATAGTTAATAACTGCATATTTTATAATTAAATAGGTGTAGATTTTGATTTGGATTTGATTATATTTATTAAGATTTCATATTTATTTAATTAATATTTATATATTTTCTCTCATCACTTAATTATAATATAAAAAAGAATTTTAATACAAAATCTACTCATATCTTTTTATTTTTATATTTTACAGAGAAAAAAATAAATCTAATAGAAGAAAAGAAAGAAAAAAGAAATATATATATATATATATATATATATAAGGAGGGAAACGTAGGAAGCAATTGTCACAAGCATGTAAATATATGCTTAGAGACTAAATATTCTGGCGAGAGATGCCATACGCGATTTTCAAGGAATAAAAAAAAGATGCATACAAAATATATATATATATATATTAAAATCCCACATCGACAAGAAATAAAAAGAAGGAATCTCTACTTCAATTATAAATAATCCTTTCATCAAGAGAGGAGTCATCTAATCACTTTTCTAAGGACTTCAAGAATTTTCTTTAAGATATAAATTGAATAATATATTAATTACATTTAATATTAATAATTTATTGATTAATTTCTATTTTATAAATTGATTAATTAATAATAATATAATTAATATTCATTTTAATGAATTTGTCGAATAGATACTCATACAAATTAATCATGTGCCAAGAACTAGATTTGAACTGGTGACATGAGGATTTTTAGTCCTCTGCTCTGCATAATTTATTCAAAAAAAAGATTCAAACATTTTAACAATTTTGATTTCTAAGATCAAATAAGTTTTACAATGTGAATCCTCATGTGTAGTATAGGAGAATCTATTCTCTTTCTTCTTTTTTTTAATGATTATGAAGATTGTGTAATTCTTACTCTAAAACTTTTTGTTTACACGATAGTGATATTCTTTGCTTCTCTTTTCATCTTCAGATTCCCATCGAACGATCCAGGACGTAATCTAGGATGTGAAGAATAAAAAATCATATTTTTTATTTTTTTATTTTCTGTGTTTTCCTTGCTTGTGCTTAATTTTGAAATATTCTTATTATCCATTATCCATTTTACATATTTCAATTTTAACTATTAAATATAATTAAAAAAAGATTATAATTAATTATATTGAAATAAAAATAAAATAAAATAAATAATAATATAAACATAAATAATAATAAAAGTTAATGAAAAATTCAAACAAACAAAGAAAAGAACAAAAAAGACTCTGTTCTATGAATTCAAAAGGTAAATAAAATACCAAATTATTGATGAAAATGGAAAGAGAGGATTCGAACCCTCGGTACAAAAAATTCATACAACAGATTAGCAATCCGACGCTTTGGTCTACTCAGCCATCTCTCCCTAATTGAAAAGGGCCCTTGCTTTTTTTTTTCTTTTTCTTATATTGAATTTCATATTTCTATCTCATCTCTATATGTCCCTATATGAATATTTATATATTATAATATTCAATTTAATAATTTTTTTAATATACTAATCTTATTACTAATTAATAGAATAATTTAATAGAATAAATAATTC